CGATCAACAAACACATCGAAATTGATCCCATTTACCAGCCACTAAGAGTGAGAGAACTCCAGAACCACCGAGCTTAAAGCTGCAAAATCAATCAGACGAGGACATCATATGAGAAGGACGAAAACATCATTCAAACGGACACATCAGTTGGATTGGAGGAAGCGCCCAATCAAAGCACCAAATCAACCGACGGACGAAGGGACGCTGACCGCTAAGGTGGAGGAAATAGGGCGGCACAAGCAACCAATCAAACTCAAGAACGTCAGACCACAACGCAACAAAGATCACAAATGGACCAATAGATTCACCAAATTTGTTACACTTTAAGTAGCCAATCACGTCAGAAGATAACAGATAGCCCTCGAATGCTATATAAGCGCACGGAGGCAAGGAAGAAGTACCCACTCAACTGCGTACTGATGATGTCTCCTCGTATGGCGACGAAACTTTTGCAAGCCAATTGCCAAGCTCGGCGAACAGATCAACAGCCACCTGATCAACAACCAATAAACTCACCCGAGCTACCAATATTTCAACAAATTACCAATAGCAGTGACGTGTTATCACGTTCGCACTGCTCGATGTAGTGACTGGGTCGGCTTATCAGTTCCGTTAGTGCATTTTACTGTGGAACCAAAACAAACTGGCACTTATGTGTACACACGCTACGCGATCAGACCAACCACTAATTTATTAAGTTATTTTCTAAGACGTAACACAACCAACTTGGCCGTAACAGCTTACGGAGAATCTCCGATTGTGTGCGCGGTGGCGGCCATCTCGTGATTCTAATCTAATTGTGAGATTTTCTAGCAAAGCTATGGAGAAAATATTCGTGGTGTATTTAAATGGGTAACCAAAAATACTGAGCATTCACAAGGCATAGTTTCGATCCTTAAATCTGTTTTTTTATAAAGCTTGCTTTGATTGTATAATTCTTCATTCACTTATGGTCAGCAGCAAGTTTGTCCTTTTCTGGTTCAAACTACCCGTCACCATTTTCCATCCAAAGTAGTTAAGAACACTACAAAAGATTCTACGATTCCCACCCACTCGTGAGTCTTTATTTCTCACGAGGGAGAAAATAAATGTGTTTCCATGTTATTAGCGAATAAAAAGAACTGACGTCCACCAAAATGCTCCTTTATACCAGACATACTTCAATCGATATTCACAATGTAACCAGTTTGTTCAAACTTTAACAGTGTTTTGAATTCCTTTACCGCAAAAAAAGACAAGCAAATTAAAACTGTACGCCAATATTTGGCGACAAGTTGGTAGTGTGGGGACATTTTCGACTTCCAATGTCATTTTCGTCTGCCAAGTAGAGTCAACCTGTTTTCTAAGACGGAGAAGCACTTTTACTCTTGGCAAACGGAGCACAGTATGTTTAAGCAGGCGATAGATTGTGTCCATGGGAAACCCTCGGTGAGACATTCTCTTGCATATTTAACTAACCCAACTGGATTTACGTCATTCAGTTTAACAAGTATATTTTTGCACAAACGTCCAACAAACACTGTTGCAAAACCTTTCTCAGTGCGGCTGAAATTACTACCAGACGGATAACGTACGTTGTTTGGGGTATCGGAGTTCCACTTTGGTAAACTTTCCCCATCCATAGGTAGTTCGCGGTCGAATCTGCGTGAAAAATGGATGAAGAACGGAAAAATCCCTAGAAATTCCAGAACACTCTCAGAAACGACGAATCATTAAAGCAGGTAAAAATACGTGTGCATGCAGATTATTATACCCTGGTCATAAGTATAACAATTAGCGCAATTAGGATCTATCGCGATCGTCATAACACTAGGGAATAAAAGGATTGACTGTTTCGGAACTTCTGAAATCAGTGACAGCAGGTTCCGAGAGCTGACAAAAAGGATGGGCCTTTGAGGCTTATTTAAGCCCGTTCTCTCTGAGAGATGTAACTGTATGTACCTAACTACATGGATATGAGTCCACTTGAAAGAACCACTTAGAAACGAGGCTCTCTTGGACACTAGTTGGTTCAGTACTTAAGTTTTTTCGAATAATTTTACTTTAGAGGACGTTATAGTTCCCGTTAACTGTTTTCCTATACCCGGCCAACTTTACGTGGGTATATAATACTCAAAGGCCTATATACCCCTGTTATGTTTGATAATCGTCTTTTTTGAAGGAAGTTGGATACCGATAGATTCGCGAAGCATTGTAAGATTGCATTATAAAGCGAGCCAAAAACCTGTTCGGGGAACCATACATCCTGAAAACAACGACAGATTAAATTATTATGGCCCATTACCAGGGAAATTTCCTGAATTCTGTGAAAACTGCAACTGACTGTATGTCGTCACCAGATCCCAGTATCCTAGGAAGAAATGGCAGCTGCTTGTACGACAAGCTGCACAGCAGTACTAAAGGTCTCGGTTCGCGACAGTTCCAAGCTTTACCACTCTCGATGTGTACTTCTAGAATGTGTGTATTCTGGAATATTATTCGTGCTCTCCAGCTCTAACGAAACCTGCTTAGAACGAGAGGAGAGCCCGGCGTAGTCATGCTGAGTAGAATGTCGTCTATCGTGGAAACCGTAACCAACTGTAGACTTTACCACATGTTCTGCGGTCCTGTTGGATCAGGCAGGATATTTGATGCTGCAAGGGTACCTGTAAAACGTCTCGGTCTTCTAGGCTACATCGTCTCAGAGAAGTTGAGAGCACTTCCCTTGACATCTTTCATCAAGCCTTACCCACTTGCATTTCGGGAACGACAAACAACTGTGGCTGACGTGGCTAGGGTGAGCGCGAAGTGATTGTGCGAATGAGAAGAGGCAGAAACCCGATGCTGTTGATGCTTCCCCCGCCATTATCTCAGCACTACGTGCCACAGAACGTGGTTTTAATTTTTTTGTTTCGGTGATAATTTAAAACTGAGGGATTTCCTTTCTTCAGTCCACCAAAGCTGTTGGTGAACTGAGACCTCTTAAGGTCACCCTACGCGACTTGTGTTTGCTCGTCATTTCAGACTCTCTAAGTAATTACGACACTTACGCAGGGTACATATCTTTCGGCAAAGATTCTTGTCATTAACTTTCATGTCTAATACGGAATAACGGACACTTTTGCCTGATGAACGAGTTCTGAATCTATCAGTGCTCAATGTGCGTTCGAGAGTATTCAATGTTGCTTGTTCTCTCTTCATTCGCTGATATTTACAAGTGGGTGATCCATGCCAAACCTTTTTTTTACATTTGTTCAAGGCCACTTCGCCTTACTGGATACTACTGATGGAAAGTTCCTCTTTCCTCAAGTGTGCTTCCGTGCATCCTTTCACATCTCTTAAATGTGGTTTTGACAAATGGTGTAAATTTCTCGTATGGGTTCAAGATGGCAAAAAGAATCCAGTCACGCCGATTGCTGCGAATATTGGCGGGGGCAGTTTAAGTTCTTGGTCAACATGCAAACAAATTATGCATTAGTTTTACTATTTCGTCTCTAATGAATGCAATATCCTCCATACAACTCACATTCAGTCATAAAATGGGTCGTAATCTTGCCATTACCCTGATGATCCTAATCGCAAATCACAGCATTTTTTTTACAGAAAACTATCGAGTCTGATACCATAAAACCGATATTTCACCAGAAATTAGCAAAATACTTAGCTCCAGGAATAATCCGGTTGTTTATTCGTTCTATTTGTGAAAGGTCTCCCACTTGTATATTGCACCCGAACAAAACAGGAAGTTTAATCCAATGGTAGTAAATCATTTCGTGTGGGCGAAACTCTCGGATGGGTTAAATATCACAGTTCCATATACTTCACAAGAGAGAGGAAGACTGTAATCATGTCATTTCAAGAGGTTTTACTGTTTGGTTAAATGAATGTTGCTCACTACAGTAACCGCCACCCGAATTTTTGTTTGTATTCAGTCCAATGCGCAACGTTTGGTAAGCCTGGTAACTATAGTCTAGCTACAGTCTCCGTTTGCCTAATGTTTTATCGGCCCAGTGTGAATGAATCCTCTGTGTCATTGATTCTTTTTCGATTTATTCATTTCAGTTTTTCATTCACCTCGACGTCCAAGCTATCGGGGGCCCATGGCATAAACCGCATTTGCTTTACGGGCACATACACTATATTATTGGCGTCTAGGAAAGACGCAACTGGTTTTGGTGACAATTACTAGACGAAAGCAGAATTACTCACTTCCATCGGTAATCTAAAGTGGTTCTACGTTACTGGGACGCGGTTTCCACTGTAAAGGATGAAATTACGAGATATTTTACGGACACCAAGACCAAAATTGTCCTTCCGAAATGTGGATAATAACACGATCAAAACGGAACAGAGAGCAGATCAGGCCGATGCAACATTTGCAAGTTCAATAGAAAGCACTTTTCATTAGTGGTGCTCACGTTTCTGACGAGCTTTTTGCTTGGTCCGTCTGTGAAAACAATTGTTTGACCATATGAAAGGACAGAAAATGCTCGGCTATGGCGTCGCTCTTATGGAGTTATTATGCGTTTACTAAGTAAATTGAGGCTTAGGAACGGTGAAGTTTCGGAAACGTAGAAAAACGTTTCATACGGTGTCTCTAGTAAATATGCCCACCTCCTGCAAAAACTCATATTGAAACTTCACCAAGGAAGTTCGGCATGATTTCCCATCCCAATTACTTTCACGCCAATCTCTTATCCACTTTCAATTGCTCGCGACTGTGCGGGAAACAAGAGCGTGTTTAACTGGTTGTCATAGCAAAACCCACCGGCGAACCATCGCCTTCCCCCAAACGGTCCACTGAAGGAGTCAATTCGATCATTGATGGCACGTTTATAACAAAATTATCTAGCTAGATGGACAGAAACCATGAAATAGTGTGTATTTGTGTACAAGCATCTAAACTGGATCACATGTTTATCGCCTGAAACTCCCACACTGATTTTGTTTAGAAGACTAGGCTACCTCTCACTGCCACTCTGTTGTATAGTATATGTGGATGGACAGATTGATTCGGGCTTCTACGCAGAAACGGCAGGCAGTTTTAACCTTCTGAGAAAAACTACATCATTCCTTTCTAATCCCATCTTAGTCTCATTGACATTTCGAAATCAGCCTTGCAACAGTAACCCTCTGTTCGACTGATCTGATAAGCCTATTTAGTTATAAACACGGTGGGTACATAAAACAGAAAGCAACGACGAAGTGCTGTACTGTTATTTATAACAGAAAGGCCCAACTAACAGCTATCGATGCAACAGACGCAGTGGTGATTAAATTAGCCGAAAACCATACCGTTTGGTCACCAAAGAAACGAAATGGTAGCCCATAAAAACAGTGGGAAGCTGACTGCTTTGAAACAAGTAAATGTTAAAAAGTTGCCTCCGTGTGTGTTGATTTACCATGGTTAAAGTCAGAGCCCAAAAGAGCTTCCGTGTCAGTGAATAGGAGTCATCAAAATGAGTAGTTCATTCCTCAAGCACATGGCTCAAGCCACCCAGAAATTCATTCTGAATTCTTCCTCGCCTTCAGTACTTAATAAACCAAACAAATCAGTAAAATGCCCACATGGAACCCATCCAAAGCTCTATCACCCAGATGAATAATGCCCCAAGCCTGATCTGATGTTAGATTCCACCTGACAATCAGTGATTGGGATAAGTCATCCATACTAGCATGATGGAACTTACTGCTAATGGCTGTTCCACTGAAAATTGCTATTGCTTATTCATTCACTGTTTACCTTAAAGTTCGGCCAACCGAGTAACTTTATCGCCTTGAAAAAGCTTGTGCGTTTGACCAGCGATACATCCGAAAGGGCAAACTCAAGCGTTTCAACATCATCCATAGGAACAACGAAAGTCAAGACAGTTCATTAACGCTTTCATTGTTCGGGGTTCATCACACAAGTCTGCCCCCAAGTGTTTGTTAGTCTTGTGCAATCCTATGTGTACATACAATGGAAGGTACGTTGTATTAAATACTCGTTGTCTGAAGGTTAGTTTGGTTTTGGCTGGAGATTCACCTGAAATTCACCAGAACCACTTATTTGTGGTATTTTTCGGATGTATGTGCTGAATAAGGAACACCTTATGTTTCAGGGTACCAGAAAGCGTCCGAAAGCTTCCAACATCAGATGCTTCCGTGATTTCCTCTCTGTACTGGGATGGAATGGTTTATGGTCAAACGTTTCAGCGCGAAATACGGACAGACACTATTCGGCAATTTAGGACTGAAATTTCCGGGAAACGGTCTTCCTAAGCGGCTCACAACTACATACAACAGATGCAAGCATTACGCATAAAAACCACAAACGAACGTTGTGCTGAACGTGGGCTTGTTGGCTGGATATTCACTAGATAGTCACAAAACAGTGACGCAACCATTTTCGTCTCTATACAATTTAGGTTATCCAAAAAGCAAACGGGAAGCATGGAGTGGGCGCTCAAGAAGAAATGTGCGTTTCTTATGGCAGAGTGGTAAATCGGGTTAAATGGACAAGAATACATTCACATTTCGTAGCGATTCCTATAAACACTAGGATAACTGATGTGGTCGATTTGTTTTGTGTTGAAGATTATTGACCAGATTCGGCATGGCCACTCATGCGCAACCGCCGTCACCGCTCTAAGTTTCCAACATGATTTCATGCGTGCTGCAAAGCTGTGGTAGTTACTTCCATCTTTGAAGTGAACAGAGAATAACTTCAACCAAGCGTCTCCAGCCATGACGACAATCGCCACTTATGTTTTCTGTGACAATACCGCTGTTTATGTAGTGTTTTTAAAGACCAAACTTGGAGTTCTGTTTCCTGGCCACGTTTAAAGAAAGTCCAAAAGAACTCGTTTCCGATTCTCTCATTAGACAACTGATCCTATCATTCTGTTTGTTGTTGCATTCAGTAACGCTCACTCTGTTTCACTTGATAGCAAAACCGACTATAAAGCGATCGCAGTTTCGCCTGCCGCGGTTAGTATGAGAGGGGATCTGTGATAAAGTCATACATAGATGGGTTTGTCCAAGTTGAGGGGTATTTAAATATCACTCATAACGGTCCCAAAGACATGTAGCCCAAGTTTGCCTAAATATAACTCTCATCCCCAGATTAGACACAGCTGACTGGTTGTATTGCCTTTAATCCGCTTATTTTGCCACAGTAACTCATCTACACCGATGTACTCCATACCCCACCTAAATATCTGCTAAACCCAGTGGATCTTTGTGACCCGTTTCCAGATGTTGGCCGCCCCAGAATCTATTCATGTCCATAATATAGACATCACTTGAGGGAACAAATCGCACTCAGCATTGTACAAAGAGACATTCGAAACAGTTAGATTACTGTGCCAATGCAAGCGGAAACTATGGTACGCGTCAAACGAATTGCAGTTTTGATGTCTCGATTTCTGAATTAAGGCAGTCGAACCGGCAGTGCGATTCACTAGGGCGACACCAAACTAAAACTACAACAGCCGTAGTTCACTTTGGTTTTCACTGTGAGCTCGTTGCGGGTAGGGTGGATAAGCTGCTTTTGATTAGGTAACAACGCCGTCTGTGTTCCGATTTTTCCGCTTCTGGATTTTACAACCACTGAAAAATATTTCAATGCTAATTTCCTTTTCAGCGTTGTTCTAATATCTTTCTCAACCCCAGTCATGGCAGCTAACTACCGTAGTAAACCCATCTGATTAATGTGATGACAAGCTTATTGAAACCCATGTAAAATTTTGTGCCTATTGTAAGGTTGTTGACAACTCTACCGTGAATAATTTACATAAGTTTTAAAAAGCTACACACGTCGACGCAATAAGTCATAAATTAGAACTGAAGTGGGATCCCCATTTTTTCTAATTAAGCGTACAAGGAGGTCTTGCATTTCATTCGATTCGTTCAAAATGCAAGTGTTAATCAATAGGTGCCAAAGCACCTTAGAATGCGGTCGGTCCCAATCGGTAAGTGAGCAAAGTGCGTCACGTTCCAAACGATTCTGTCGTTCGTTCGTTTGGTTAAATCTATTTAGTTGTGTGCCTACTCAGTTGAGGCCGAAGTTCTTTCTATATTGCGCCAACCAAACCCCATAGCTGTGGGTAGGTACCTACTGACGTTTACTGAATTTGAGCACAATCAAACCTATATCATCATTATGAAACAGAAAGTTCGTTTGGCATCTTTCTTTACTTCACTAACCCCAAATAACAGACCATCAGATCCCAGTTCTCCATTTTCTGCACATAACGGCCTAACGTCTTATCGCTTTTGCCTTCAGCTGTGACGATATAACGAATTACGGTTTGGCTTAAACAAGCAAGTGATAAACATTAGTTATAGGTAAGCGTCACGCAAATTTATCAGCTACTGTGTAGGTAGTTGAACGCAGCTTTATACGCATCTGTAACCTCTTTATTAGAAGTTCAACAACAAAGTTTATTGTCTTTGTGGACGGCTTGGTTGACATTCTTTCAAATGGTGAAACTCAGGGGCCTAATTTCCAAAAATCAGTAGTTTTCTTTGACTGAGCGGCACTGAGATGACCCGAAATGACTGGATCTAGTGAGTTGTTTGGGTGTCACGGCCCACATAAAGTACAAACTGCAGATTTCCGATGCTTAGCTGCATTTGTAGACTAAGGAAGAGTAGTTATGAGCATCTGCCTGAAAAAGTTCCTAATGACCCTAGAGAATAGGATTCAAATGCTGATTCGCAATTAAGTGACACTGTTCAGAAATATACGTGACGCTTAAGCTACCTCCTGTCCTTGTTCACTCAGACTTACATGGCAATATGATCTGTCCAGAATCATTCATGCAAAATATTTCACGCTTTATATGGTATGATATCATGTGTAAGGAGAACATCTGAATGCCTAGTATGTCAGGCAACGTCGGAACGTTGTCAGGCGGAAACCGGCATGCAATCACGCGGTCATAATCTCAACCCTCTTCGTGCCACTGTTTCGCGCCAGTAAGTGCAGGAAGATGGCATACTAATCGGAGTAGGTCAACATGAAAAGCCAAAACTTTAACGAAGGTGAGAAATAAGTGCAAATGCGGTCCAACCTGACATCTAACGACTTATTTGTCCTGCGCAAGCTCTTGATGTACAGGATGCCCTGCCGGGAATTTCGTGGTCAGTATACGGGATAGAAACCTGTTTCTAACATTCCATAGATATTATGGAATATTAAGGCAAATAATTGTTTGGTAAGTTTATATGCATACTTTGCTTCCGATAGACTAAAAGAAGGCCTGAGGTTTATTTGAGCCAAAGAAAGTTGTGAAATTCACTTTGGGAGATGGAATATGAAGAACATCGTCAGGCCAATGTCGTATCCAGATCTTTGAATGTCCAAGTTCATAACATACGTTTCGACCACGCTCTAGCAAACTAAATTAATACCTTAGCTCTTTGGAGCTAAGTAGCTTGTTTATATTCCTCCCACACCTATTCACCACAGAATGACTTGAAAATATATGCTTTCCATGACCTTCGGCTACCACTTTCAGCCTCCAGTTGTTCTTTAAAAGAAACACGACAAGGGGCTGGGGAAAACTCTTTTGATTGATGTGATAAATATATGGAGGTGGTTAAAAGGAAATGAGGAACCTAAAATGGACTAGCTGCTTAATTAAGAACCAAGCGATTTGTAACACCCACTGGCAAGTTGACGGCACCGGGTTAAAAAATAGTAAAATTTTCAGACGTCGGTTGACTGGTTTCTTGAATTTGGCGTTAATAAGCTCAAATACGAGTCCACATTTTTCTGTCAAGTTGATTTTCGCGGGCGACCCAAGTGAATATGTCATTTACGATTTTCTTCTCTAATTGGTACGGCACACCAATATCGCAATACACTATAGAGGCGTAACGAATATTTATAAGTTTGCCTAAAACTCTTCGGCAGTATACGACCAGTTTCGCACTTCTTGGGACTCATCAGGTAGGAGCAATATCAGATTTTCCGTCAACCTTGTGTTCTATTTGAACGAACTGAAAAATGAGGCGGCCTTAGGCATCACGTTCAGTTAATGAAGAGCATCGCAAAACAGAGATCATTTGAGTCTCTTATGAAAACCCAGTTGGTATGCAGGCAAGTGTAGTTCATAAATTTCGTGCAATTTCCGTTCAAGGGTTGAATAGAACTCGGGGACTGTGCCCACCTGATGAGCCCAAAAAGGGTGAAACAGATCGTACGTTGTTAAACAATTTTCAGCAGCGTTCGCTTTTATGATTTTGTAATGGTCTCAATTTCATAATGATCACTGTGTCAACTTGCATTAATGTTTATCAGTAGTGTGACTTAACAATACAAACTTTGTGATGTTGCAGGAATAATTTATGCGCACCAGACTATGCATATGGCTAAGAAGTGGAATTCTCGTTTTGCTCACCAACTCAATTAATTGTTATTATTCCACAATTTGTCCATTCTATAATTTGTCTGGATTTAATCAACTTGGAAATGTTTAACCAAACATAAGTTTGGATTATCTTAGTGTCAGCATCGATAGTGTGTGCACACAGAGAGGGAGAGAGACTGCAGTTGACAGTGGTCTGAGAATATTTAGTTAATTTTAGTTAGGGTTTCATCTTTTCAGTGAAGGCAATCTTTGGTGAAAAACCGGCAAGTACTAGAAAATGGGCGTATTCTTTTTCGGAATCATCAGCGGTGCGTAACTCAAACAACAGAGAGCTGTTGATCGCCGCACTGCTGTTCGGCGGCTCCTATCAGAACGGTTAACTGTTCAGCCAGTGTTCGGAATGTTGAGGGTCCAAAAATCTCTGAGTTTCGTGAAACTCGGACCTGAGGTAATTCCAAATAAAAATAAGAATCCTATATGGTGATTATCGGTATTTCAGCATAGATTAGCTTCACTGAAAGGATGAAAAATCAGTTCACAAAAGCAACTACGATGTGATTTAAAACTTTAAGGAACACCTTCGTGGAACGAGGAACGTCCCTTTACCGCAATGGATTATTTGTTCTTTCTATTAGTGCAGCTTAACAGCAGTGCATCCTCTTGGTGTTGTTTTTGCATGGCAGTTGCTTTGGACATGCAGTTACTGCAATTACAGGTTCATCGAATGTAATAACTGTCCAGAATGAATAGGCTTGTAGCCACGGTTCAGTTTGATGCCTATAGTTCTTCACCATAAGATCGCATGGCATGTGAAGGAATCCCGAAAACCACAAGTTGTCATTTATGAGTACAGTTCCCTGAGCTGTTGGTTAGACCTAACTGGTCAATTCATAAAGTGGTTGCAAACAAACAGGTAGGGTAAAACATGCAAATGAACGGCGGAAACTTTCACCATCGGTTCATGTGTCAAGCGAACACAAAATGTGGCATTTGGCATTTGAAACATTTATTTGACTTGATTTCAAGATAAACTCACCCAGACTTTTAACAACGTTTTAAGTGGGAGATCAGTAAGCGGTATTCTGGTATCCGACAAAAAATGGATCAATCGCTTTCTTTCTGACGGGTGAGGACTTGTTAAAGGTGATATCCACACATAGACTTGGTACTCCGTGATGGAAAGATTCGGTTTCGTTTGTTCAGAAGCCAGTATTTTCGTGCCTTGTTGATTCGAATCCGGTGGACTCCATGTAATGACGACCAATGGTCCGATACTCGGTATTCTCTGGGCTGCGAATAATTCCTTTCCGGTCGCATCGATGCCCATTGATGAGTTCGCGTAATATGACTCCATGCTCTCAATAGCTATGTTGCTTACTGTAACATCAGCTATTTTAAGAGGGAAAATCGAAATATAGTTCGTATAGAATCCACCTGCTATACGCTATATGAGTAAGGGTAACCAGGCTATGACGTGTGAAATTGGCATAGCTGTTGTCAGTGAATTGTATTCGATAAACATGGATAAAACAGAGTTTTTAGTTTAAACGCAACATGCCACATAGCTAAACATAACGTGGGAAACAATTACACTTTTTGGATGCCAAAATACCGCAATTCCTGTAGCAAAACACTAAAATTAGCTTTCTTCGCCAAAAGTGTTTGCAGCTCTGTCTGCAGTAAAAACTGCTCGATTGCTACAACCTATCCACTATAGCGGTACCCACTGTTTCGTACATAAAAATTTTGAGAAGCTTATTTCTAGTAATCTACTGCAGTCCACGAGGCATGAAAAAGTTGCTTATTATCTCGCAGTACTGCGGTATTGATCGACCTCATATGCATTCTTTGGACTACCAAGATAGCTGTCTTGTCTACACAACCAGGCATCCTTCGTCACTGTAAACATGACGCACCAAGTTAAAAATGAAGGTGTTCAGCTGCGCATTTGCTTTATTTGGACGACCTGTTACTACCTGTGCTCCGAGGAAACTTCTTTGATTGTTAATAGACCGGTTACTATTCTCCAGTATTGAATGTGGCATTTCCAGTGATGTACTGACATTCGGTATGGGACTTTCAAAAGTAGAGTGGGGAAACCAAAGACAAAAAACAATGAAGGCTACCCGGTGTAGCTATCTGAAAACAAGTACAGTAGTCGAACGTACTTGGTAGCTGCCATGTAAGCAGCTACCTTGTGGTGTCCTTTTTCGACTGGACGCGGTGCAATAACACGAACTACGGGGCTTACAAACGTGTCGTAGAATGGCTTTCCTATGTGCATGTCCGCATTTTGGTTTGTTCACCTTCTGAGAAAAACACCTGTCTCACAGCCAAGGCATTCTCTCTTCTCAGCAGATGCACTCAAAAGCGACTGCTGCATAACATAATGTAATCAAGTAAAAATATATGCCTCGTAGACTTTTTGACCGGGTCGGATGATTTCACTTACTTATCCCCTGTCGATTGAATCTTCGCAGTTTTGAGAAGTTACAAAATCATATTTTTCAGAGCTAGTGTATCTTAGTTGTTAGATATATGTGTGTGTGTTCGACATTAAGTTAATTCGTTCTGTTTACTATCTGCCTGGGTAGTTTTAAATAAAATATCTTGTAGAGCAGCTTCCATTCTTGTCATTATCTTATAATGAGTATAGCAAATGTCTCTCAATGGAGGGGTGTTTACGAGCTTGAATGAGTTGACCAGAACGAAGGCATATTGTTCTGCGTCCGGGATTCTTTGAATTATACATGTACTGTGCTACGATAGTTGAACCACAGGTGACATGCCGACGGCGAGATTCCCCACCCAGTGTGTTGTTAATTATATGACGTCATCCACGAGCAGTAAAAACTATTATTGTGGTGTTTTTCGTGACGTATAGAATACGGTGAGGGCTGAATGTCTAAGTACGTACAGTACCTATAGCCCTACTCGTTGGTGCTGGTTTGTTCGAGCTCTAGAGTCTTGTGGATGTGATGGCGAATTCTGATGGTTCCAAATACACCAATGTCTCCTGAACGCTTTCAGCTATTTTTTTTTGTTATTTTTCAGCACTTTTCTTATCCTAGACAATTCCGGTTACCGAAAAACATTTCCCAGTACAAGGTAGTGTTTTCACGCTTAGCGTCTAACTTTATTATTGAGTTTGCGAAGAGAATAAAAACTAGTAAGACGCTTTCGTACACTCAGGAAGTTTGAAAAGCGAACTTCATGTGGAATATCTTCTTGTGTTAAATCAGAGTCCTTCTCAATATCAAGAGACTGACTAAAATGTATTGGTGTTTGGAAGGAAACGTAAGCTCATTTCCATTTTTAATGGGAATGTCACCACACATGCAGCAACCACCATCCTGGTGGCCTAGCACAACCCAAAACACTAACCAACCTGGTATGAGGAACCTTGTGGATGTCTCTTCATACCTTAATGAGTCACGGAGGCACACAGCGGTAAGGCCCTGCTTGCTGAACATCTGAATATATTATGCTGCTCAAAAATGGGCAGCAACAGTTTCATTTATGACGCCGTAACTTCTTTGTGTTTTTTCAACCAGTATTTGATTATTTTTGTAATGTACTACTCATAAGGTTGCTGAAAATATAGCAACCTTATGAGTAGTACATCACAAAGATATACATGTATCGCGATACTTCAAATATCATAGCGATTTAAACATGAGGCGGCCTGGTGCAGCACATTCAGTTGCCTGAGATCATCATAAGCGAAAGATTCAGCTGAATTCCAGGTGAGTCTCTCGAAAGAACCAAATTAGTTTGCAGATGAGTGTATATTCGCTAGTATTTGATTATGTTTTAGACCATATATTGTAGGTGGTGAGTCACTCTGTAGCCAAAAACATAGACTGCAGTGCTCAAGAAAAAGCATCAGGTGCACCGCCTTCAGCAATAAAGAAATTAACAGTCTAAACAAGCATAGTTACCTGGCTGGGGTAAAGTGACCGATATGTTGTTAGTAGACATATTCAAGTCCAGTTTCGGAAACATTCCGGTCAGATCATTTGATGCTGTCACCGACAAAATGTAAGTTCCTCCCAGCGTCAGACCAATGATTGTAATACTGAAAATTGGTGGGCAAAATAAATCATTGTGACTTGCAGTCTTTTGGGAAGGCAGTAATTCAAAAAATATCTATTATGGTTCCTTTTTAAATCACCCACTGGCTCCGGTTACACAAAATAATCCTTGGCTACATCAGTGCGGTACGGTTTTTTTGCTGATATCCGCCACATTTGTGCGACGCCCAAAAACTGAGTCTGCGCATGAGAGCTGTTTAATCGACTGCTTTTAATCGTGGTAAAATGAACCCATCTGACTTATCCGTCCGGTTAAGATAATCTTTTCTGTAGCACTATTCATAAGAAATTCAAGATCAGACGTCAAAATGATACCCCCGAAGTGGTTAAAAGCAAATAAAGTGGTCTACAGCTTTTTTTGGGACTATTCCTTATAGGGAAATCAGAGAATGCATTGAGTCGCAGGAGCAGTACGAAGAAGAATTGTGGTTCCGTGGAGATGTTTATTTTGGTTGACTGTCTTTTTCTCCTAACTGTTTAGAAAGTGCAGTCTGATCGGCCTGTTTCTACCAACTTACGGACAACGTATCTTTAAATCTCATGCATGGATGCAGACTTGCAGCTTTTTGTCCAACCCAAAAGTTAACAAACGGCAATGCTGAATGATGGACAATGGCAGACCGCCGACGTTTGCGCTTATTAAGTTTCAAATTTTGCTAACGTTGTCCTCGGCGGTCAAATTAGATCACGGAGAAATGCAACTTGATCGGGAAAAAGCTCTCAAGAACGTGGCTAACTATCACAATATGACTTGAGAGCTAGATCCAGTTCACACAACATAGTATGCAAAATTCTATTTTTTACAGCAATGTGAATAAGTAAAACCATCCAGTTTTCAGGAATTTTCTGCTGCTTGCGGATATGCCACAACCAAAATCGGGTTCCGAAATACCGAAACCCTGGGGGGAAAATTCTCAAAATATCCAGCATTACTACGATATCTTTATTTCAACAGTGGAGTGAAAAACCATTCGTGCTTCATTGTGGAAATGTTGTGAATGTTCTTCGTCGTTAAAAAAATTCAAGCTTTTTGAAATACTGGTTTTTACGGCTTCACAAATATTTATCAGCGGTATTCCTTTGGTGGCTTTGCAGTCTTAGTTGTTACCATCAAAAAACAAATATGCGTGAATGGAGCAAAATAACGTCTTGTGAGTGTACTGGTGGATAACGTGGAGGCCAAAACCAACCGCCCGTGCTGGCTACACCGTTCTGTACAAATGGATGCTTCATTCATGAGGCGGCTTTCAGGGCCCTAGGAAGAGCACACATTTTGTTCAGATACGCACTTGGAAGACTTTCTTGCTTCACATGAAATTTTCGCCTTTACTCCGTCGACTTAAATGGTTCACTGACAGGAAGGCACGTGATATTTTTTCTTCCCACGAAAAGTTGTTGAGGATTCATCGCGTCTGAACACATCACCTAACTTTTCCGTTGTCTTATGCCATAATCAATCTTGTGAAACTTATTTATGATGGTTATCCCCTTCGCAAAAACGCCTTGCGCTGTTTTAACTGACCATTCTGTTTTTTACCTTGTTTCAGATATAATGTACGCGCAGGACCTCTCAGTTTGTGTTCGATTGCCTCGAGAACCCAAATAAATAATTGTTGCGCGAAACCAGTTAGCCGGTGAGATGACGACGATACCCTTTCTTAGTAGGACAATCGGATCCTGTGTCGCTGTTTGTCACATCAACCATCTCATTGTCACGCAACGGGTAGTAGTTTCAAACCCAAGCTTATATGTGCACATCGATCTTCTGTATGCACGCAGTTGCACATTGTGCAATCCTTGTGTCAAGTTTGTCTTCCGTATCTAGCTAGTATCTATTACATCTGTTCTCCGACTTGTTGTTAGGTGCCGAATCTCAAGGAATGTTGAGCATCTATGTATGCACTTCGAAGTGAGCATATCTCTTGCACAAATGGGCATTTCTCACCAGATCAAGAAAAGGGTAACCCATACATGGGAATCCGTTTATAAGGTGAATACCCTGGAGTGCGGTAGGATACGTATGAAAACACACTCGGCTCACGACTATAGAACAGTGGAAACAAAAAGGCATAAGGTTATTTTTTCCTAATTAAAAGTGGACAAATTCAACTTAAACAGAGCACAAAGGACAAAACAAATACCGATAGAAACCTGTTAGAACGGGTTGCGTGCGGCTGAACGTAGGTCGGCTGGTTTGTACAACTTTGGTTGTATTGGTCAAGGCACTTTATCACAAACCAGAGGTTTTCTCGTCCACCCGTGTCGGACGGTGCTTGCCAGTAGAGTTTTATTCTGACCGGATCTGATATATTGGCTTCCAATGAGACTGGAGCCGAGGGGAGAGCTAAAAGAAATGGGTAAAAAGCATAGTTTGTCGAGATTGCTGAACGTCTTTTGAAAGGAAGAAAAGTCTGAAGCACCATTTTCATCTCCAGTGATGACTTTACCTTGTATACCGAGGTTCTCATCATCAGTTTACAGAGCCTTAGTGGGGCAATTTCGTTTATTTCATTTCATACTGGAAAACAACATGTCAGATTCCGTCACGTAATTGGGACAATCATTTCCTGAAAGGGTTGTGAGGTGGATAAAACAACCAAAGATTCGTGACGTTTTACAGTTGTTTTCCAAATTCATTCGCTTGCAAATAAGATTGGACATGGGGTTGTTTATCTTAGTTTAGCAATCAACTGAGTGATGGGTGACCATCGAAGCCTTCCAAGCGACTAACAAGAAAACGTCATTAAGGAGTCGTGTGTATCACGATTTCCCTGAAGCACTTGATTTATTTCAATTTGAATGAATAGTGATATCTAATGTGTTCCTACTCAAAACAAAAGAAGGGGGAGAATTTTCATTGTTCACTTTCAAAGCCAGTTTTCATCATTTTAAATAACTTTCAATTTTAGCGGAAAATGGTGTTTTTTTTCGAAGAAATAGATCCGTGCGCTCTACATGTCTGAGTAGATAGCAGTGTTCAAGGGCTATTACGAAACTTTCTGTTTCTTCCAAGAAACCCGGCGACATCGTTCCATGAATATTCTAACGGTTCTTCAGTTTAACATTGTTTTTTAATATTATTAAAAGAGTGCGAGGAAACCAAAGCAAATTTCGTGGACGTTTGTTCTAGCCTTGCTGTCATTCACAGTTCATTTTATTTCGAGCTTTCTTAGATTAAGTGGGTATTCTTCGTGAAGTATATCAACAAAAGTCTTAAGGCCACCCGACAAATATCTCCACTCGTCTCATCATGAATTCGACCATATTTCGATATGAAACTAAAATGTTCCGGAATTCATGCAAACATTCATCCCGAGACCATTTATTTTGCTTCGTATCATCTTCACATTCGTACTAAGATATTCTAAGGTTCCTAGTGTATCGTTGATGACTGCCAACGAACATAATTAAGTCAGAATATTTGTGCACTCTTACAGATGGGCTAGACCCATTTACATCAAATCACTCGCATGGAAGGTAATACAAACCAATTTGGTTTTTTGAGAGACTCACCAAAAACCCAGCTAAATTAGCAATTTGGTCTCAAGTAGAACATATGGTTGATGAAAACTAGGGGACTACGCTTACCTGGTGAGCACCAAGAAGGGCAAAACCGGTCGTGGGCTTCCGAAGAATTTTCAGCAGCGTTACGAGCAGTGTATTACGTCTACTACAGACTAGTTTCTCGTCATCTCAGTCTAGGTGTCACTTCCAACATTTTTTACTGAACGATCATTATCCTGCTGTAGTATCCAAACACTGCCCTAAACCATTTGACTTATGGTGCTTGACTCAGAAACCCTTGCCTAGTAATGATAAAACCGTATTCCAACTTCTACTTGCTAGAGAAATACGCCCATGTCAACTACTGCTAGACCATAACGAGTGGCGTAGGTATAAAGGTGGTTAAAACTCAGTTCTCGTGCCTTTGGATTTCACAGCAGTTGGACGAACCATATTTCACCAGTTAGTAAACCAGTCAAAACATGACACACCAGGCTTCATTCTACAAAATTAGGCAAAACCGGCTGCGAATCCGACAATGTCCGGTAAAAGATGAACAGGTTCCAACCTTCAGTGGAAACTCCGCTTAATAATGATGTGCTTCAGTCAGTCCTAGTCAAAATGAAAGACTTCAGGATTTTCCTGACTGTGTCCATGTCTAGAAGATCCCGATTTATTGAAAGGATATCGGTGACGCTCAATGTAAACAAATTCCATTTCTTTGTTAGACAGCTGTAACGATGTGCAAAATGACCGCTCTGAAAAACAAAAAAGTCTGTGGCATGTATATCAACGTTTCGTGATGAAATACCTTTTCTGTACTAGTCAATCACCGGAATTCGAAATACCGCAAGCCACACAGAACGTAAATGAACACGTAAACGTGTTGAACAATCACATTGCGTGAATAATGCCCTTAACACCAGCTATCTTCGCTCAAGAAAGCAGTCAATTCACGTATCAAACTGTTTTCTCATTCGACTATAGCGTCGGTTTTATGATACTGATTCTGCTTCTGTTATTTCAGAATTAGATTTAGGCAACTTATAATGATAGGTTGTGAATCTCTATTTTCATCAGCGTCAAAAAATTATCCTTTGCTTATCTTAGGACAGTAGCTTACAACAATTAAAGACGGTGAATTCAAACTCCAGAATGAATCTTCCTATTGCCCTGCTACTGGCCCTCTTAAAAGTGCATCTAAAACGGATAATTTTCCTCCACTCTCACCGTCCTTCCCATTCGCCTCCAAGTTCTTGATCCAACATGGCGCCCTGATGTCGGGCTGTGGCAACTTACCTAGTCTTTGTATTTGGAGTTAGGACCTGATAATTACGAAGTCGTGAGCCTAGGTTTTTCTGTTGAATAGTAGGCCACTATCTACTCCGCACTAAGGGGAAGGACATGTGTACCCATACGACAGACGATTGGTTCATACCATGTCTGTATCACTTGTGCCAGTCAGAAGTGAATCTAGGGTGAATTGCCTTTTCGTGGATGCAGCACATGGATACAAAGCACATTTATTTTCAGGAATGTTTTTTGCAGCACAGGAGCACAATACGTTGTTTTTGGTGAAAATCAATATATTATGCACACGATATCCTTGATTACTGGTTGTATGCGCCCACCTAATGACCACATCCCAGCATCCCCGTTTTAGTGGACAAGCTGAGGATGTTCCAAATTATCGAAGATTGTCAGTCCCTATTGACCTGGCTGCCATATGTTTTGTGGGCAGAAATGATGTGTCAGTAAACTTCTACCGCATCATCGGACTGCATACCGTTGCGAAGACCATACACAACCATCCTAATAGAGTTGTTCACTTTGCAGAAGAAATGACTTCTTATCGAGTTGACCATCTAAGGCCATTGTGTATATTTCAACTAGCGGTCGGTGAGCAGTTACATCTTAAGAACGGTAATCAATTACATTCGAATCGCGTTGTAACTTTCTTTTCCAACAATGCTTCCTTGGATACCGTTTGAGTAATAAACAACAGAAAGGCCCAACGGGTTTTGCAAAGGACCGAGAACTCACAACGGAAAACTGAAAGTTTATTAAACTTCCAGAAAATAAGAAATTCTTTTATTAGTTGAAACTGAATTAACATATTTTATGTTTAAACTAGTACACTGGTTCTCTAAAAATCAGTGTCATAATTACTTGAGTTCAGCGGTCTGGTTTTACTCCGGAAAATACTTATGGTAAACATCGACCAGAGGTGCCCGAGGCATAGAGTTCACGATTAGAAGAACGAAACTAATATAATGGATTAAACTACTTGGACCCTCAATCCGTTTGTTGCCTCAAAGCAAACATAACATGCTCCGAATAAATGTTCCCTGAATATTTTGCAAAACGGTGCTCCATGTTTGTGACGCGGCCACTAACGAACCATAGATGTGTTAGTAACTGTGCGAAAATCGCCCAACGAAGCCAATCGTCCTGCTCTGCATACAAACACAACTTGTGCTCAGGGGTGTGGTGCGTAGCTTTAAATTCGCACTAATTCTTATAGAGGAAATCCTGACACAACAACGTGTTTGAGCTTAAGTTATGATGCACACAGTTGCCCGTTATCTCGTGTACATGTCGGCATCTTGGTTTGTATAACCTTTGGGTGGTAGGCCGTACGTAGATGAGTGCAATGCGTTCTTATCGCGCAACTTGTGGACAGCCGAGATGCATTAGTGCCAAAGCAGCTATTATGTCACTGAAGTCACGTGATCCGTTCCCCAAGCATGGCAATCGGCTTGCAAACGTTTCTTCCCCAGCCGAGTAGAAATCGTCAGTGCGCAGTTGCGTAACACGACCTGTTCGCCGAGCGGAAAGATCATCTGCCATTTGATGGACACCAGTAAACACACGAGCCACCTATATTTAGACAGACTGAAAACAGAAATACGTATTCAGTTGATACCTCGCAATTATGGGACTGAGATAGTCAGAGTGCACTTAGGAAGGCCATGCTTGTGTACAGCTTTAGCGTTACTAGCCGAGTGATTAGCGCCACAAGACAAGCCGAGTTTCGGTCCAGTCATAGATGCCTTTAAACAGATCGCCCGTTACCAATTTTGCAATGTAATACATGTTTTTATCAACACAGAAAAAGGTTATATTATATTCGCCTGAGTGAATGGAACTTCGGTGTTCCCAAATGTAACGCTTCTGAATAGAAAGTGTAAACGCGAATGAGCATCAAATCATCCTTGCAAGGAACGTTCACTAACTTGTACACGGTGAATCTTCGTTGTCTAGTTTAGGATGACGGTGGTATCCATCCTTGCACTGACAGACAAACTGTCCACCCAAGAGCCCCGCGGCATTATCCGAAAAATTTGTAGCTGAAGTGAGGAAACCCAGTAGTTGTCCGTGGAATGAATTTCTCCTGAAAGAATTCCGTGGACAAGGTCGGCAGGGTCTTGGACCCAGTCTGGCTTTATATTCATTTTCGCCGCAAGCTGAAGGGCAAACAGAACAGAATATGGAGTTGGCTTCACCGATCTCACGTTTGAATGAGAAACATTTGGCAATGAAAAACTCCGTGACATAAACGGACCAAAGTACGAACAAGAACATTTAAGCGTACCTGAATTTGATGTCGCTATTTCAAGGTAAATTGGCATGGGTAAATCAGCCAACTGCCATCAACGAGATTTCCCTTCACTCAGTTTAATGTCTCAAAAGTGGACAGATATGTCAGACGTTGGAGAGTGGCTGGGTACAAGTATTATATTGGTTATCGTAGCGACGATACTGCCTCCGGTTACCATTATCAGCTGACAAGGCACGGCTTAAACATTTCGTTATAAATCAGTGGAATCACATTCTCTTTTCGTGTATTCCTTTGCAAATCTCCTGATTGCCGAATTCTGATTACCAGGTAAATTGCATTACTTCAGAACTAAAAGATTTACGAGCAATACCGGTGCCACAATGTTCGGAATGGTCTACCTAGTATTCACTCTCGACGTACATCACGGTGTGAATCTTTGTGAGAATGTCACTAATAATCGTGCCCCTGAACCTATTTATGACTCCTGATAATAGAGGAAGATCACAACAATGTGCGTTCGTCAGTTTAAACCAAACAACCACCAACCCACCGCTACGCACTCCTACACTCCACAATAACGCACTGATGATGTCACCTCGATTGGTGATGAAACGCTTGCAATCAAATTGCCCAGCTCAGCGAACAAGCCAACGACCACCCATCTACGCTCCTGAGCTACCAACATTTTCCTCTATAGAAAACCAAAAGACTATAAGTTCCGAATAAATAAGCAATGGTGCGATCCAGTTTGGGTCACGTAAAAAACACGGCCATGCCGTAGTGGGTGCACGCAACGGTTTTATTTATTAATCTTGTTCCAGTTCTTGTCACAACGTGTATGAAACAACAATGCGTGAAACTTCGTAGATTGCTTCCAACTAATCTCGCAATGCGGCCGAAATGAGGAAAACATGCAACCGTGTTTCACTTCATCGCCCTAAAAGCAACCTGATTTCCAACATAATGTTAAAATATGAGATGAAAAAAGTGGAAGACCCGCTACTTTGACTTCGTTTGCAAATAAAGCTTGAATATTCATAGTTTTGTGGAATGTGTTCACGGTTAAAACAGAAGCATAATTTGCAGGTAATATTGGTTGACATATATACACACTTCTTGTTCCAAAATGGACCGTCAGAGTTTTAGCATGGACTGCTTCCACAATCAGCATCAAGTTTTTCCGGCGCACCAACTTATAAAAAAGTTTTGCTCAACACAGATCATCGTAGTCAAATGGCATGAAGGTCCGTAAGGTGGGTTTAAAAACCCAAAAGCACGTTGGCTGAATGAGCGAAGGCATAGAAGTTCACTGCTTAAAGCTAGGTAAAATGTTAGCTCTAATGGGGAACTGCAGCGCGAACTTAGACCTTAACTTTCTAATACGTTTATTTTGTAGTACGATACCACAGCGACTTCAGTTTTCGTATTTGCAATCCAGTCCTAATTAATGGTAGTCTCCGCGCATCAATAAGATACATCAAGGCAATTTCTCGTGGTTGATGGGTACTAACCAAGTAATGCGGAAGTGACAAGCGTGTATTATTGCTGTGTGCCAATAAAATCTGGAATACCTTGTCTTCACCAATATGAGCTCGTTGCGGTGGATTCATTAGTGGATAACCGGTTTGTCTTGCAAAAGTCTGCTTGAGCAGTACTGGACCGTACCTGATCGACTATGTCGATCTCACGTGGTCTTTCACATTGCCGCAAATATCACTTACTTATTCGGCACATATGTTTCTTTCTAACTCTTGGGACTTTATGCTTGACAAACCACAAACAACGAATAGGTTCAGTAGTACGCACGGCTCTCCTCACTCTGACCTTCATCTGGACAACCACCCAATGTATAAGTTGGTTACATCGACCGGATGACCTGGAATGCAGCACTTCCGAATAAGGTAGCCTCGAGGACTCAAATTCTGCAGGACATTTTTGGTTTGTTATAGATTGTTGCGAAATCATCAGTCACACTGCTAAAGCTAGTTTGTTTGTTCATGCAAGGTGAGTTTGCTGCAACCAGTCTGCAAGGATAAAGGAGTAATACGACTTTCCGCTTCGATTATCAGTATTACTAGTTTCCACCGGGAAACGAAAAATATGAACTGTCAACGAGTCGAGACGGGAGCAAAACTCGAAATTAGTACTTCGCCGAATTAGTATGTCACACCCAGGATGAACGAAGGATGATTATTTGAACTAGCCGAGATACAAAATTAGGTTACTTGCGTCTGTTGATTTATTGATATCCGCGTCTGATGCTCCTACTAATAAGACTAGATAGGCGAAGGCTAATCGAGCTCGATTGAACTTCATCGTTTTTGTACGTTCTAGGTAGGTCTTGATCATCGAGCTTGCCATCGTTCTTTTAAGTATATGCGGCATCCAGTTGCAACAGCGTACCCCAAAATTACTCCTTATGAGTGCGAAAGTGAAAACCGTGAATTTTGGTCACGGTGAAGCAAAGACTAGGTTGGATATTTGTCTCTGCAGAACCAAGGAAGTGAACGTTTAGCATCAAGAGTTTTATTAAATTTTCCAGTGCGTCATTTTTTGGACGCGATCGATGCCAACGAGGTATTGGCTTGAGTAAACAATGTCATTTTACCATGGGTGAGACCTTCCGAAGTCAATAACTTGGCTTGGCTCTTCATTAGTTATCGAAAAGTGTCAGAAAAAGTGAAAAACAACAATTTGGCCGTCCAAACTTTTCAGTGCATGGCGGCGTGTAACACGAAGTGCTCGTGTAGGCTGACATACTAACGTGTTACTCATCCGTAGAAATGAATTTTGGAATCACGAGGTAAGTTTCGGGCAAAGACAATGCAATCAGTAGTGTATCGCGCGGTAACCACCGAGTTGTCTCTGGCTTCAAGTCGTGTTTCAATGATATTCTTACAGATTCAAATGTACTAACCGGCTGACGCAAGTGCCATACATTGCTTTGCTTTAGAGCTACCTAAACTATTCCGAGGACTACTGTTGCTTACTTCAACTATTGACCAAAAGCTTTCGGGTGCTTTACACCTTAGTCGAGTAGTTGCTTGAATGAGGTTGCCCAGTTTACCATCACCTTGCGATCACTAAATTGAGAATATAGATCGGATGTTTGATTTTCTCGGTTTCTCTAATCCATCACGATATACAATCCTATCAAACTGTAAGAGATGGCGTGGACTGCGCAATCTAGGTTGAATTAACGTCATTGCTTTAAAACGATGGTTAGTTCACTATACCAGCGTAGACATACAGTCAATTATCGAAACTTTATTGACAGATCACCACCGAGTCATTTAGAACGCTCGAATAGTGTCGATCAACAAGAGCTTTGTAGCAGCACACCACTAATGCATTCCACCGTCAGCCACATTAAAATCCTTGACACAACTAATTCATTCAGGCGTTTGTTATCATATTCAGCTTAATAACAAAAACTAACTAGTGTGTAAAAATTTATACTTATCAACATTACCGGTTAAACAATAAATCCGAAGTTTACAGAGATGTCCAGTTAACATGTTTGTCAAATTATGATTCTATGTCAAATTGTGATTCTAATCTGTAGAAGTGAACCAGTTGACGTACCAAGACAGCGCAGTTCTCTGGATTCCGAATCCACTGCCAAACCGTAACCAGGACTACATGTACAAATGTCCTCCCACTCCCAGAAAGCTTGAAAATTGTGTGCTAAAGAAACGTGGGAGCTCGTTAAGTCTGTAGATTTTGCATACCACCGGCCGTTTGGAAGACAAAGCAGGTTGGGCACTGTTTGATCTGACAATGGTGCAGCCCCGGGGATGCATTGGCCTTGTACGTTTGTGGACTGACTTCCATCGCTAGTTATTGTTCGAGGGAAGACAACGAAATTTTTTTGAAACATTGCGCAAGCCAGAAAGCTCAGATGTACCCTTCGTAGCGTTGAGCAAGTACCCGTATCCAGAATGGCCACAGCCATTTTTGAAGCTTGCACCTTCATGCGATTCACGTAGTGCGCGACGCGTTCTTCGCTGATGGGTTGTGGAGATGTCGAGGTCGGTTTTCTTGACAGTTCTACTGATGCGTTCATGCTCGCATCATTGAGAGTTAGATTGGCTATCGGTCGGAAATATATCTGACTGGAGGAACATAAGAGCCTTATAGTTCGTCGGGTAACAAAACTTCCCATCAGCGATAACGCAAGCGTTAAATAAAAGCCCTTTAGAAAGACCCTGTAAAATGGAGGTGAAATATGCCTTGCTTTTAAAGTGAATTTCATTCTCCGGCAGCCTGAAGCCAGTATACTTTCTAGATCGCTATGTTTATGGAGAAATCAGCTATGCCCAAAAGACTTGACGCGGTGAGCGTACTTCTAAGATGAGCACAAAATAGCGTGGACCTGAAACTGTTTACATTATGAAAAATAGGTCGTATCCTAAGAATAATGCTTACTGGAAGTGAATGTCCTAGCCACTGAAGTTTAACAGACAGTTTTGTGCACAATTTATCTTTTGCTAATGAATATGGCACTGGTCTTTTAGCGAAGGTGACGGCGACAGGTATCACGCATAAAGCGCTGACTTACATCTCAATTATGTCACCAATCTCAATAAATGACAACAGTTTGAGGTATGAGCTTTTTAGTGCGACCGGACTAATCCAACTCATGAAACAACACTGTAGTATGTGCACAGATGTATTGAAGTGCGACAAAGTAAGGTGGTGGAATGTGCCAATGCACACAGGTGGAGCCTGAAAGCGAACTGCTGAACGTAACTTTATTCTCAGACAGCAATAGTGCGCCAGCACCCATTGTCTATTTTGCACAGCTATTTCCTTGGTGATTGACATTCGTTTCAATGGAATCAAAACCAACAACCTACAGAAAATCACCACACATTGGTGCTTTGGACTTTAAAATCCTACAAACTCAAATGCCTTCAGGTAATTTGATTCAACATTTAACTGTGATCGCAGCTCAATTCGCCGGCCAAAGTCGGCAGCTATAACAATTTCTTAAAGTGCGCTTGCCATGATGTCAAAAAACGTGTTCCCTGTTTACCCACTTTCTGTGGTGTGCAAGTTGCAAGACGTTTTTGGATCAAAAGTGCCGTATTCAGGGGCCACTAGGAATAAGCTATTCTTGCAGTTTCATTGTTATTACTTAGGATTTCCCGCGGGAACATAGATTCCAGCCTGATAAGTTGCACGAATTTTAATTAGGGTTCATCTTTCATTCCTCTAAATTACCAAACAAGTGTGATGTGTTCTAGAGTGTGACGTCACATTTTAACTTTATTGTGGTTTTAGGATATCTGCAAACTTTTGACTAATGGTGAGAAATCACGAAAGTAAATGCATTTTTGTGATAACCCAAAGTTTCGATTTTCATGACCAGCCTACGCCATCAGTGTAGAGTAATCAGAAGCTTAGGAAACGAGTGAAACGTTTGACTGTTGCCCACAAGTGTGCGTTTGCTCCTCGTGAGGCTGTCTGACTGACCGGGTTGTGGCAGCCTTCGGCCATTATACCCTTTGTTTGGTGTTAATGAGCGCTGACTACAAAAGAAATTTGTGCTGATCGTCTTTCGACCTGTGCAGGCAGGTTGTGTGAGCAGCCAGGTCTTGTCAGGACTTCATGCATCATCTGAGCCAGACGAGATGAGTTTGTCGCGTTTTTCGGTATTTTGAAATTTCCGGGACTTACTGGATGATAAAGCGGGTAATTTCACGTCCCCGCTTGCCTCTTTCATGTAGACAACAACAGCATAATCGTCGTTTCTCATGTCATTTTCAATTCCGGCCATTTCGCTCCTGACGAAAGCAGCCTTAAATAACCAAAACGTTGTCAGATGTCGGGATAGTCCTTGTCAATAAACAGGAGGCTTCAAATTAAATGCTTTTGAAAAAGTTGCTTTATTCTTCCCATACCAACAGCTGAACGAAGTAATGGAAAACTCGAGGACTAATTGCATTTATCAGAATAATGTTTGGTGAAGACTATACTTGTTATCGGAAAAAAGTAAATTCGGCTGCTATGCAACTAACCTTTCGTTTAAAAATAAGTTTTCCGAAATAAGGCTGTCCGAATGAAAAACCAAGAGGCTGAGCGATTCCTGACAAAATTTCAAGGCTTCTGGATCCGGATGTTCCGCGCACCGCCGCATTGTGTATGTGACTTCAATAATCAGCGATTCCGCTTCTTTCAGTCGGATGATCGGACTGAACAACCAGTTCATGTTCCCGCTGCGCAAGACTTGGCAAACTCCAAAGACTTTGCGCTGCAGGAGTGGATGTGTTTGAAGCCGCCACTAAAGCAAAAATATGATGCGAATAGGTGCTACTAAATTTCTTGGTTTACACCGATGACTAAGTCCAGAGAAAATCATTCACAGTACCCTTAGGAGAATCAACGGAGACTGTACTGGAGTAACGATTTCAAGTTCTTGAAAGCCTAATAGTAATACAAGCCTCAAATTAGTTCACCAGTTTAAAACAGGTTACAAGAACCCGAGAATTCTTCTTGAAACTCGCAGTAAACTGGTGGAGTGATTTGAAAGTGGTCTTGAAGTAGAGGTGCCACTCTGTTGAAGCGTCCAGGACTGTCCGATCCTTACCACTTAGTATTTGGTGCGAAGTTCCTCGAAGAAGGCTCACCTCAAGTGAGCAGTAAAATCCCGAGATACACTGATTTGTAGCTTTCATAGGTGTTAACAGTCGACGCATCTCAGTCATATTTTTACAGTTTCAACTGCCCTGCTTGGCGTTTCTTCTTTCATTTGATACGATATTCAACATGCCGTGGTCTATTTGCATTACAGCACGCACTGCTTCCAAGGTTACTGCAAACTGTTGGGCAGTCCGTAACCAGGTCAACATAATAAGCAGAAACGTCAGCAGCGTTCGCAGAAAAATGAACTGCAAGTGAGTACATTTCTTCAATCCCGTATACTCTATTCTGTAACTAGAACGTATGAGTCATGTAGCTCCCAAATTACGCCTAACTGGTGGGTCCCGGGTAGAGCAAACAGCCAGTGGTCTGTGGACACTGGTCTGTGTTCTGTGGTCAGTAAACTTGTCAGTGGCATTTATACAGAACAAGAATGTCTTTGCTATTTTACACATTCTTAAGAGAGGAGTATTGATCCAAACGATCGATAATTATTAGTCTGTCAACCGTTTGTACTTAATTTTCACAATATGTGAAATTCAAACCCCAAGACCGTCTGTCATTCCATAAAATTCTGCCATAATAATCATTCAAGACCTTTAATCCAATGTACGCATACCTAAATACTTTGTTATTTATTGGTCCTTCTGCTCCAAAAGAGAACTACGAAGCAAGCAGAAATTCATCTATGTGTTGCCATCTACTCTGATATAGCTCTATTGATCGTATCTTTATCCCGTCTGAGTGAATTATTCCTAAACCAGCATAAGTGCATTAAGGAATATCAGATTATCTAACCTTTCGGAATGGATTTATTGCTTTCTTAACGCTTGTTTTATTACCTGTCCCCGGAAGCGGGACAGTTACTGTCCTCGTTTGAGAAGTAAGTTCGTAGATGTCTGACGCATACCGATTAAATGTACGATTGGAATCTGAGTATAACAAGAACGTGTAACCGATTTGAGACACTAAATAAGCACTGTAACAGAATACCATTTAAAGAAGCTGAAGTTATTTGTCAAACATCTATATAGTAGTCATGTTTTTATTTTTAAAAACCTGCTTTACATCCTCACACTGAGCTGATCCGCCTTATCGTATTGAGAACTGCATTTATTTTTATCATTTGCAACGATCGTATTTCATCTGCATCATTGAGAAATTTATTCACTCATGAGAGCAATACCTAAACTGGATATGGGGATTCCAAAACTTACTCCTTCGTACTTCCCAGTGTTCGTTATCCAATCTCTCCATTCTGAAACATCAGTGTCCAGATGAATCAGAGGAACCATAATACAACTGCTATATAAATGGAAGACTGAAACGTTGTTTCTGATAGTTGGAACACATTGACCGGAATTCAGTGAATAGATGGTTCAAGGTCGGTTGTGTAAAGATTAAGTTACTAGTCAATACGACCGACCTTGTCACTGTACACATTTAGGTCCAAGGCGTAATTGAATCGAGAAGGCATCCCAGTCCAACCACTTTTAAGTTCTATCCACATCGGCCACACCACTTGGAGCAGTGAGCTAGCGGAAATATCCGTACTGGTACACAATGATTACTGAAAATTTGCTTCAGTCAAAATGGAAATAAATTGTTCACTTCAACCTGATGTTGGAAAGGTGGATTGGTGCAATACTTGCTATTATTTTCACCTTCACGGACGCGGATGTATGTCATCTGCTTACGAAACCCACTGGTGGAATACAAATCACATAGGTAGACATGAAACATAAAACTTAGTAAAACTTAGTGAGCTTGGTAATTTGGAATCGAAGTATAAATTAGGAACTCAAAATTGAAAACAACAACATATTTTAAAGAAACTCTTATGTATCAACAGCTTCATTCCTCTGGCGGTGCAGTAAACATATATCAGGTGGCTTGGAAGCATTGTACGCTTGTTTCTTTCTAACTGAAGGTTACAACCACACATTAAGAGGTTAGCCCGATGCAATTGTGAAACGTCACCTAGTCAGCTGAAGGAACGCGTTGTCAACAACGTTGATCAACAGCTTGTATTCAAACAAAATTTGGTGGGTTCGAATCCCCAGAGACTCGTGAGGAACAACCTGGCAACCTTTTCGAAAAAGGAAAATAATACAAACCGTGGTTCTCGACTTATCAGCATAAATAAGTTTACTCACAAGATGCAACCTTGTTTGACGTTACAACGGAATTCTCGTCTCCATCTTTTAATAGATTTATGTCCAGAAAGAGCTGGGTGACGCACTTCAGTCATTAGCAAAATTAAAGTTCGTGATTCTATACAGTTCTCCATTCCAAATAAAGGACATCATAAGCAAGACGTCATTAGTGTGATGGGCCCGTTATTTGAAGTTCGAGGTTGAACAGGCTTGTCCTCACGTATACGAATATCATTGATCCCAAGAAGCCTAATTCTAAATGGACTCGGTTTTTTCCAGATAACTGTTCTTTCGGTGCTGCAGCAAATGCCATACAATAAGACTGTGACCTTCCCAGAAATCGTCACACCGTTAACCTACTATATGTTGGAGGAACGCTTTACGTCATCATTCAACAGTGTACTAGAATCCAACAGGGGATTTATGCTTTACGTTGTTTACGTTAAGATACAGAAGCCTGAGTCTGAATCAGTGCATAACTTTTATGTGCAAACATTTGAATACAATATTTTTCACTATACGCAATTCAGATATTTAGTTTGAAACTGAAAGTGACAACGTTTTACACTTCCTGGGCGCTAAGTTAATCAGACTTTCCACGGATTGCATTCAGAGGTCTGTCTACAGAAAGCCAACGTGGACGGGACAGTACACAAATTTCCTGAGCTTTGTGCAACTGAGGCGAAAACGAACCCTGATTCAGACTTTAACGAACCGAGCAAAACGTATTTGCTCTGCTGAAAGACTGGTCTCCGAAATGCAGCACATTGCCAATTTGCTCCGAGCCAATGGTTACCTGGAGAGATTTAGGATCAAGAATATATCCGACCGCCTTATCCAACCGCCTATCATGATCGTTGGAAAAAAGCCAATATAGCTGAATTTACCGTATAAGGCTATATCCGACGCCTTATCCAACCGCCTATCATGATCGTTGGAAAAAAGCCAATATAGCTGAATTTACCGTATAAGGCGATCTGCTGGCGGACATAGTTCATCGCCGCTTGTTTCGATCCCTACAAGGCACGTTTCCGGCTGAAACCCTGCGGTCTTGGTCCACAACAAAATTTCCTCAACTTAAAGCTCAAAGACAAGATGCCAGTCCTCACCCAAAATATGGTTGTGTATTCTTCTTCCTTCTGTTGTTCAGCGGAGTATGCTGGGCGCACGACACGGTAATTTTCTAAGCTAATACGCGAGCTCCTCTCGTAGCGGAATAACATTAACCCCAACAGTTCAGCCTGAAGATCAATTGCGTCCCACCTAATTGACACCGGGCACGTAGTCGTGCAAAATGAGTTATTTCAAGTCATTTACCGTGTGCCAAATAGACCGTCAATATCTATTCAACTGCATTGCTTGACTACAGCCGAGACAGTCGCTATGCGTCCACGAAACCCGGTACTGTGCTGTCAAAAATGTTTCGTATGGAGGCGTAGTCTGCCTTGGTTGCCTGACACGAATCAACCGGCCAAGTCACTCAACAGCCCACTTGACTATTTTACAGCATCCAACCAGATGCGACATGGGGGGGCGCAGACTACCAATCGTTCGTGTCTCCACGTTTTGCATTTCACTAACCAAACTTCGCACCGTGTTTCATATTTCCCTCCTATTTTAAGCATTGGATATTAACTGACCTGATAACAAGATCCCGAAAACATTAACGTACTTCACTGTGCTCTTTTTCAAACCATGGCCATATTTAAGCAATTAGTGCCGAATCTCAAAGTTGCTCGGGGAAATCTGCTGAAGATTGGAATGAAAGTTTGTTCAACACTGAATGTACGAGAGACAGTAAGTGCACTGCACACGTCGATAGAACTGATCCCCTGAACTCCGACCAGAAATGTAAACAGTCGAAACAATCGCTACCATAAAATATTTGGCATTTTCTTACTGCACAAATTTCCGAAGTTTTGTGCAACTTTGTTTTAACTTCCGATGCGAATCAAACTTTTGAGTAGTAAAAAGGGCGAGGCGGTCAAACTGACCGAGGGAACTAGCAGAGTACTTTTTACCAATGCTCAAATGTATCATTTCTACTGATGGCGGTGCGGTAGTCATCCGATAGGAGATAATTGCAAGATTCGTTGGGGGCCGGTATCTATACGATCACAAGTAAACAGGTTGCCAATATAGAAACCGGTGGCGTGTTCATTTTGCTGCTGCTATCCAGTATGCGTTTGAAAATGCTGCCGTCGAATAACATCACGAAAGTGGGCAAGTACCTTCATATATTCACCAACCCTATGACCCTGTTGGGAGTAAACAGGCACTCTTCATACAAGGACTGAAACCGCCATCCCTCAGATAACACTGGCGTATCGACATGTCGGATTGCGATTCGAATTCGAAACCTTTTCCTTTCATTCGCCGCCGGCTAGTTGAAATGTACTTAGCTCTACAGCAAAACTTAGAAAAAATTGGCACATTGAACTTGTCTTCAAAATCGAAATGTGTTTGCTTGTACATCAGGTCTGTT